TTTCTTTTAGAATCAGAAACACACTTTTATAAAAATGGGACTGGGCACCTGTTGAGGTGACAAGCTTCTCGTCTTGGTACATATTCCCAAAAATTTGAGAATCACCAGATATGGATATTTTCACTGAGTTTGACCTACAATGCATACAGTCCTTTTTTCTTTCTTTCTTTCTTTTTTTTTTTAATAGTCTCCATGACGGGCTTAGAGCCCAGTGTAGGGCTTAAACTCACAAACCCGAGATCAAGACCTGAGCCAAGATCAAGAGTCAGACACTTAACTAACTGAGCCACTCAGGAACCCCTGGTCTAGTCCTTTTAACTGAAGTATTATTTTACAATTATTTTTTCATTTATTTTCTACTTTCTTTTTATAACCTATTATCTCAAATCTTGCCTCCGGTACCAATCTCTGTTGCGGGTTGGGGGGATTCTTTTGCTATAAAATATAGTAATTAAAAAAGAAAGTTACAACTTGAAGGGTATACTAAGACCCAATAAAGGGAAGGAAATTTGTTTAAAAGCAAACCTTCAGGGGCGCCTGGATGGGTTAAGTCTCTGCCTTCAGCTCAGGTCATGATCTCAGGGTCCTGAGATCGAGCCCCACATTGGGCTCTCTGCTCAGCAGGGAGCCTGCTTCCCCCTCTTTCTCTGCCTGCCTCTCTGCCCACTTGTGATCGCTCTCTCTCTGTCAAATAAATAAATAAAATCTTTAAAAAAATAAAAATAAATAAAAACAAACCGTCCACGTTTCTATGCAGCCAGGATAGAAAGATGATGTAACAAAATTTAAGAAATTGTCTAACTAGTGGAAGAACCTCCAGATTTCTCCCTTTCATCTTCGTGAAAGTAAAAATAAAACTTTAGAATGAGACATTCCAAGTGCTCTCTGCGTGTGTAAATACACACTCACTCTAAAGGTTGCTGACATGCCGGCAGACCATAATTCTTGTGAGGAAAGCGGCCACCTTTGTTTTTTTAAACCCACGTTCAGGGATTGTCCATGGGAGCGGAGGGAAAGCCCGTGGCTCCTGGGCCCTCCCCGGCTCTCCCAGTGGGGTTCTGAAGCCTGAGCTGACTCCTCCCGCTCCCTGGCAGAGGGCTGAGGGCAGTGGGAGAGGAGCTCTAAGCTATAAAAAAACGTTCGAGTTTTATTTCCTTCTAAGGCGTCCTGAGTCAGTGGGTGCTCCAGCCCCCAGCGCCCGGGGAAGTTCAGCTCAAATCGGAAATGTGTGTGTGTCTGTGTTTCCTGAGCCAAAGCTGCTGAAAACCCAGAGGATGTTGCCACTTGGACTGAATCTCTGCACGCAGAGTGGGAGCTTCCTATTTCTGTCCTGGGAGGAGGATGGAAGTCACTTAATGATCAGTTTCTCTGACCCACGTTCCAGTATTACATCACAGTCTAACAGCGAGCTTACCCTCCGCTCCACTCCCCACACAGAGCTGCTGACACTTTAAAAATCCCATTTGTCACCTCAAAGCATACAGCACTCCCACGCTATTTTGCCTCCCACCCTTGAGGCTGCAATTTTTTTTTTTTTAGGTTTTATTTTTCATTTATTTGAGAGAGAGCACACGCGAGAGAGCACAAGCAGGGGGAGGGGCAGAGGGAGAGGGAGAAGCAGACTCCCTGATGAGGGGGGAGCTGATGCGGGGCTGGATCCCAGGACCCCCGGGATCACAAGCAAGCTGAGGGCAGACCCTTAAGCAACTGAGCTCCCCCCGCCCCAGGCACCCCAGGCCACAGTTTCAACTTTAACAAGTGATGCTAAACTGGGTTGGTCAGAATCCCAGAAAGCCACTTAGTCCAATAATCTTATTTTACCTGGGAAACTGAGGCCCAGAGAAGCAAAGTGTCTGCCCATAGCTACAGAGAAACAAAACCAAAACTAAGACCCAGGCCAAAAAAAATGTCAGGGCAGAGGGTTCTGTCCCCAAGGCAGTATCCACGTCCTCTAATTCAGCTCTAATTCAGTATGCAGGAGGAGCCAAATGTTTCCTGCAAGTGGGGCTCAAGCCTTCTGACCAAAGCAGCAGCTCTCCCTGTCATCTTGCCCCTTCTTTTCAGCCCTCTTGCTGCTTTTGTGTAGAAGGAAACAAGCAAGTTAGCCCGGAGAAGATCTTTCTGGAAACAGAGGTAGCCTTTCCGGCTGCAGAACTTTGTCTAGGATCAGGGTGTGGACCAGGACTGATCAAGGGAAAGGTTTCGACCCCAGAGCTGGAAAGTTGCCTCCCGCGCCCTTTCCTTAGCCCCTCTGCTCTTGACACAGGGAGAGGTACGTGCTTATGTAATTAAAAATTCCCATACAATTTTTTAAAGTGTATTTCTCCATGCCATTCCTGAAAACCCTTGGGATTAACAACAAGGTGCATCGTTGCATCGTGTTTTCCCACGTAGAGCGAACCTGGATATGGTAATAGGCCACAAGATCGTGTTCCAGTGTCGGCTATGAACACCTGAACCTGAACTGAAAACTAGAGCAAAGCTGTCCCGGGGTGTGTCCGTGGGGTTTCTGGCCTCTCGTGCTTACCTACTGTCCTAGAGCCTGGGTGGAATTACATCCGGAGACAGGTGTACCTTGTTCATCAGGCAGAAGGGACCAGGGGATACACAGAGCTAAAAACCTACACATTCACAGTTAGAGATGAAAGGCTGCAGAAATGTTTATTGAATACAGTGCCAGGTTTATAAATAAAACTTATTTACAATTTCCATAGAGTTGGTCCCCCATCAGAGAGGTGGTTAAATCTCCAAACAGTTTATCTCAAGATTTACAGAAAACGTTCAAGTACATCTCCTTGTCCAATTGCCACGGTGAAGGGTAACTTCTGTTACCAGAACTACCACCATCTTTGCTACGGACGTGGTTTAAGGAACCTCGCAAGAGCTGGAGAAAGACCACACGCTCCACCCGCGCCGCTACCTTCTCACTCCAAGAGATCCGGACAGCGAAGGATTTCTGTCTCCTACAAGACAACCTCGAGGGATTGGAAAGAAAGGAAAATACTAACTTCCAACTGAAGGGGATAGGTTAAGACACGTTCGTGGAAACTCGTCACTGCCGAAAGGGGGAATGTAGTTTGGATATATAATAATTAATTCCAATGTTTAAAATTAATTGAGTGAACCGAAGAGCAGACTTTTGACCAAATTTACATTCTTTGTTGAGGAAGAAGTTCCCAGTATGCTGTGGGGCTGGTAATACGCGGCTACGCTGACGGGCCGCAGCGGCACTCGGGAGGCCTACTGGACGGCCACTCGTCACAACACAGGTTACAGGTAGGAGTCAGACATGCATTTATAAAGAGAATATAAAAATATGTACAGTAGCTAATTTTCAATGTTTTAAGTTGCCAAAAGACACCAATTGAAGTGTGCAAAAATTCATTTGTCTAAAAATCAGAAAAAGCCTTTCCTGGCAAGAGTGCGTCAAGAGTCCATCTGAAACATCGAGATGCATTTGCCTCGCTCAACACCTACCCCCGACAGATGGAGAACAAAACTATGAAAGTGCTTGCCAAGGACTCAGCAGTTTCTAACGGCAAGTCTCAGGCTCAAGCGGGATGCCAGTTAAACTAGTCACTTTATATATATAAATATATGTATATATTTATAGAGCAGTTAGAAGTAAGGGGCAAGAGTTTACAGGGAGGTGCTAACCAACTTTAAAGGGTACGGACCCAACACCCGGCTATTTCCTCTCACAAACGCATGCTGCAGCCTGCAAACACCCGATCTGGGCTGGTCTTCCCCTCAAAAGCCAGAGGGAAAACAGCTCCGGGGACCGGGCTGCCCCCTGCACCAAGTTGGGACTCAGCACTCCCCGGGCGGTGGGTGGGGGAAAGGCTTCGCTTCCCATACAGGATGCTGGCCATGTTAAGAATCTGGTTTTTTCAAAAGCAGTCTTTTTGGAAGGACTGTGGGACCACAAAAATGGAGCCCACCCGGCTTCTAGAAAGACTTGACAGAAGAGTTAAGACAGAAGGCAAAGTTTTAAAAAGTTAAATTACCCCCAACTCTCTTTGAAACTACCAAGAAGCCATCGGACACAGGCCTGAGATGGGTCGACATGTGGCCTCCCAAAAAGAAACATCCAGGAACCCCTGGTGCTCCCTCTCTCACCTGAAGAACCTCCAAGGTGTTCCTTCCAGATTCGGGGAATTTGACAAGTCCCCTCCAGCTCCGTGTCTCCTCTACAACCACCCAGTCTAAGGACCAACGGCAGAAGTAGACGGGCGGGCTCCTCTCCACTGCTCTGACCTGTCCCTCTGGCAGGAAATCTAACAAGCGGCAAAACGCCAGAAAGACAGGGAGTAGGAGAGGGAGAAGCCAAGGGTCTCTAAAAAATCAGCCCCAAACGCACCCATCTGGCTGCCAAGAGCTTCTCGCTGCCTCGGAAGCAGCCTGCCGTGGTTCCCTGGCAAATTAAAACCTCCCACAGACACTCAAAAATCCAACTCTCCTTCCTGGGGAGACACCAAATGCACATCCAGCCTACATTTCAGAAAAGAGTTCTGCACTAAATGCAATATTCCTTTAAAGGGGTTTTTAAAGCACACCAGTCCCACTGCAAAGACCAGTACCAGCATCTCAGTTTTGGTTACAGGTTTATAATTAGACACAAAATCCCCTCCAGGCTCGAGTTTTACTTTCAAGCTGGAGGCTAGCATTAGTTCTGCTTGGGGGCGGGGGATGGGGGTGGGGAGGGGAGGCAGGGAGGAAGCTAAGTCAACTTTGGAAGAAGAAAAACAAAAAGGAAAAGGAGGCTGAGGGAAGTCATCATCATAAATTAAAAAATCATGACTCGAAGGTGACCGGTAGTGTCTTTTAGGCAGAAAGACTGGCTTAGAAGGGACTACTGCTTCTACCACACAGCAAGGATTAAATTACAGACACACTAAATCATGTCTCTTTGCACAGATGGTCTCAAGTAGTTACATAAAACAGGTAATCAGCAGCACGATTTGAGAAGAACCCCTAAGTACATGCTTGAGAAAAAGTGGTTTTTTTTTTTCCTTCATTAAAGAGCGCCACTGCCTGAATTATCATTAAGTTAAACAGGGTTCACCCCCCCCCACCCCCCAGTGAAAATACAAGTAGACCTACATGTCCGTAGATAGGATGAAGCAATTGCTATCTGCCCGGTTTTAGGCAGGGTCTCAGGCTCAGAGGTTGGTGCTGGGATGTCAGGAGGGAGGGAGGGAGGGCGGGAGGGCAAGAAGCCCAATGCTGGGCTACAAGCTTTTAAAGGTACTGACTGACCTCTCCTCCGACCGCCTTGTCCCCGTTTAGATCTCAGCTTTACAAAGCATTTAACACCACTTTAAGTTAATGGTCTTTTTTTATTGGAAAAAAAAAAAAAAAAAAAGACTAGCATTTACAACTTGGAATGGACGTAAATTGTAATTCCTTGATCAGCAATGTTGATGCCTGTGCTGAAGTCCACAGCCCCAGCCTATTCTGCTGGCTCCAAGTCATGGTTCAGGAGGTTTTAAAAACAGAGAGTCCAAAGACGCTCCCTTAGTAAAGGTTTTTGTTTTTTTGTTTTTTTTAATTTGTGTGAATGGTGACAGCCTGACACCCGTGTCACTCCAGGACAACGCGGACAACGCTAAACCAACATGTGTGGCATGCCACCCAGATGAGTGTCATGGTCACCAAGGGTGGGGCACCCAGAAGTACGAGAGGGCTGTCCTGCTAAGTGGGGCTACGTCTAGACAGCTTATCCTTCACCCATTTCTCGGCACAGCATCCTGAGGTAAACCAATTTAAAATGTTTGTTTTCAGTAAACCAGCTATGACAATTTATACTAACAAACTGAACTAGAACCCATTTGAAGAAGTTTTAAATTTTTTTCGTTTTTCGTTTTTAATACAAATGCCTGACTGTGCTCAATTGTCAAGCTGCATGCATGAAAAACCGGCCAGCCCAGTGTATTAATCATGAGCAAATGGAACTGCGAGGAGTCCACTAGGTGCTTCCTTATCATTAAGGTAGGACAAGTATTTATGTTGTAAAACTGATGTGTAGCTTGATCTTTAGGGGACAGGACCACCAACCAATACATGCAGATTTTGTGTGTGTGGACAGAAGGTACTTTTGACATTCAGTTTTGCTATATAGAAACAGAATGAGTAAATGAACTTTTTTTTTTTTTTTGCAAGAGGTAAGTAAAAGATTCAATTTGATTCTTCTAGAAGGGGGGGGAAAGGAGTTGAAAGTAGGCCTTCATTTTGCAGTCATCATCTGTACGAATTCTGAAAAGACAAACAATCATAACTTGTGGTTATCTTCAAAAGCAGTTTGAATGAACACAACATCTCTACTCCGCATAAAGAAAATAAATAAAGATCAGGGTCTCGTGAAGCAGTTAACTCATTTCTAGATACCACAGGGAGGACTATTCAAAACTAAGCTGAAGAGACTAATGCAGCGTTTTTTACCTTCATAGTTGACTTGCCCATCTCCATCAATATCTGCTTCTCTGATCATTTCATCTACTTCTTCATCTGTTAGTTTCTCCCCTAAGTTGGTCATGACATGACGAAGCTCTGCCGCACTGATGTAACCGTTGCCATCCTGTGAACATTAAGCAGGTGCCACTGAGGGCGGTGGAGAGGGCTTCCCAACGGGCACAGGCCACCCCGCTCCGGCTCCCCCACCAAGCCACCAAGCACGTGCCCTCAGCCCGCACCGAAATGCAGGGGCTTGGAAAACGCTAAGGAACCGAAAGCAGCAAAATCAAGCTTGGTTCAAAATTCCCCACTGCTTATCATCATGCTCACCCTCGCCTAGTTTAAGGCTGCTGCAGCTAAGTCGGCCTATTTCAAAGCAAGATCACCACAGAGGCCCAGGCAATTCAGTGTAAGTGTTCTAAGTATTTCAGAAACGGTGGCAAAGCAGCGCGTCTCTAAGGACAGGCTGCAACTCAGACGCAGGATTACCTTGTCAAAGACTCGGAATGCCTCGCGAATTTCTTCTTCGCTGTCTGTATCTTTCATTTTTCTAGCCATCATAGTCAAGAATTCCGGGAAGTCAATGGTGCCATTACCTCAAATAAGAAAACAAAAGCTCGCATAAAATAAATGCGCCGGCAATGCTCCCCAGGAACAATGTTCCCCAGGGGAACATCTTCAAAGCACAGCAAAGAAGGGTTAAGACTCATTCGGACAAACCGGTTGAGTTATTCATTTTACGAGGTTAAACCATGTGTAAGTCTCAACTGTTCAAATACTTCGCAGGGATTTCACATGACTCGTAATTCAAACTAGTCATCAGCGCCCAGGAGAGCACTTTAGGATGCAAAGGAAACTGCACGTGGAGGTTCCTGACCACTAAAGGCGGTTGTGCAGTTCAAGAGAAGGCCTACAGCACCCTTCCATTCCTGCAGGAAGCCCTCGAGACAACACCCCCCTCCCCCACAACCCCGACCCCAGGCTGAGGGTAAGCCCCTGGCCCTACCTCTGCCTTGGTCCGTGACCCTGGTCAAGGCCCAGAACTGGCCTGCCAGTACAACAGAATGTTTTATGGAAAAAAAGGATTACGGAAGGGGGCAAAAACAGACTTTCTTATACCACGGACCATAAATTATCACAGTCTTCTCCAGAAGGCATTTCCTGCCCACATTCTGATAAGTCACCTAATCATTTTTTTCTCTAGCTCAGTATCTTTGCTTTCCTAGTAAGGGCAAGGCTCGGAAGTGTTTTCATAGCTCAGACCACTACCACTTAGGTAACTGGGTTGGAACAGCCTGTTCTACGGCCAGTATTCTAAATAACTTCCTCTCTAAAACTAAGAGTTGGCGAGCACCCACAAAGACAAAGACAATTAACAGTATAACTTAAATTAAACGGAAACAAAATTAAATGGGAAAAAGCCCTGGGTTAAAATACTCATTTTCACCAGTACCTTTATTTTTTTTTTTTTTTTTTAAAGATTTTTTATTTATTTATTTGTCAGAGAGAGAGAGAGGGAGAGAGAGCGAGCACAGGCAGACAGAATGGCAGGCAGAGGCAGAGGGAGAAGCAGGCTCCCTGCTGAGCAAGGAGCCCGATGCGGGACTCGATCCCAGGACACTGGGATCATGACCTGAGCCGAAGGCAGCTGCTCAACCAACTGAGCCACCCAGGCGTCCCTCACCAGTACCTTTAAATCAAAGTGATTCAGAAATTCCTTTGGCCTCCAAAATTTTAAAGCATTATGATATTCACACAAGACAAAGTAAATTATTTGAAATGCTATCTCATAACCACGCAGAGAAGACATCCTTGGGCACTACGTTTATTCATTACTAGATTCTGTAGCCTGAAAGAGTTTCTCCTTCCTTGCGCCATACAATCTAAGGGCCCAATACACTTTGTCAGTCCCTAAGCACCATTTCCCAGGGTTCCCATAAAACAGGGGGTGGCCACCCCATGTTCCCAGATGGCCAATCATCTTAGCAGTCAACCAAGAGGGAATTCTGAACTACCCCTTTTCCAGAACATTGAGAGGGACAAAAACTCTTTTCAAAGTAGCTTGAATGGGCTGAAACCACTTGTTAAAGAGCTCACCCAGCTTCTCAATGTGCATGACCAGACAAATTTAATTCTACTTTATCACTTTATGATACCACATTTGTTTAAATGGTTACTCTCAAGCCAATCGTCTAGAAAATAGTGTAGATCCAAACTGTTTATTCTTAGCTCATTTTTAAAAATTTCCTATGTTCTACGACGTTATATATTATCTGCATGTACAAGGTTTCCAAAAGGACAGCCTTTTGAGAAGGAAATGCTCAAAAACTGCTTCCTGAGAGAAGTGAGCAGTGGAGGGTCTACTGTCCACTGTTCTAGAGTCCAGAAGAATCGGTGACCAACTGGTGACCCCATTACAAGGGGTACTGCTTATTCCTTCTTGCTCTGCACTTTACTCATCTTCCCCTTCTGTTAGGTTCTATAATCTACTCCCTACAGCCTTTGAGCACTCCATGTCCAAGCTTTATATGACCCTCAAAATTCTCTGTAATAAACACATCTACAATTCATGCTGTACTCAACTTGACACTAAAGTCTAAGGGTCTCTCCTTCCTCTTCACTTCCCACTCCTCTTGGAGACAGTCAGCTTTTAGAAAAGGTCTATGGCTTTTTATTTTTACTTCCCCAAAGGACTCAGTGGAGACTCATGGGCCAGTTGATAAAAAAGACTGAGCTGTAGGTCACGGCAAGTAGAAAAGAACAATATGCCGATCTGATCCAGGAAATGTTCTAGACAGTGAGCACAGCCAAAGGCAGGCCCATAATCTTCTATTTTCATTGTCAGCAGCCGTCAGGCAACCACCGAAAGGATCGCTGCACATTTGCTTTGCTCTGGGGACCTGAAAGACAATCTTGTGACATGTCTGAACTTGAATTACACAACACTGGCTCTCATTCATAGGTCTGGGCCCTCACCGTCAGCATCCACCTCGTTGATCATATCCTGCAATTCGGCTTCTGTTGGGTTCTGACCCAGTGACCTCATGACAGTTCCCAGTTCCTTTGTTGTGATGGTGCCGTCGCCATCTTTGTCAAATAGGGAGAAAGCTTCCTTGAACTCTGAAAACAGAAGTTTACCCTTTAGAATGAATGTCTTTACCCAACCCAGCCACAGCACACACTTCCCTGGGGCTTGCCAAAGCAAACCGTCCAAGTCTGCAACTTATCACAAATTGCCTCGTCGTTATCTCCTGAAATAAAGACCACAACAGTCCTATTGGACCGGCCTTCATTCCGTAGTCCATAAAGCAGACACTGCTCCTGGTAACTGGTTCCATAAAACCACACAGTACTCTCACACTTTTAAAGAAAACTAAACTTAAAACACACTTAAATTAGTCCTCAGTCCAATCTGACAAGTGAAGATTGGTCCCCGTGTTCCCTTAAGGCCCCTTCCAGTTCAACTGCTCCAGCCATAGGAGCGCCTTTCACAGCAACATGAAGGGGTTATTAGAAATGCACCCTCCCAGGGAACCAGAGTGTTCTCTCTATATGGCACTTATTTCAAAGGCATCCCTGGTTTCCTAAAGAGAAATCATCTCAAAAGAGTCCTCCAAGGAATACTCAAAGCTAGAATCTAAACTGACTTCCTTTTCCAATTATTACAGTAGAACTAACCCTCATTTCCACCCATTCCCATGTATTTTCAAAGAGCAAGCACGAGCCTTCATGGTGAATTACAAAAAGACCTGTGGCATAAGAATACTGAACTCCGCTGTGAGCAGCAGGCTCCCGGCACTCCCACCACATGCAAAGCCGTGACTAGCATGAGCCAGTCAAACACACCAGAGTGGAACAAGGATTCCCAGCTCCACTTCCACACGGCCTCTGACACGCTGGCAAGGAATGAACACCTGACCTAAATATTTCTGCTTCTTGATTCCATTTAAATAAATTCTTAAGAAACTGCTCAAATTATAGTGGGGTGGGGGTGGGAGGGAAGGGTCAGAGAAATTATTTGAAAGGAGTCATGCCTCGTTCTGGCCTAAGGGGACCCCCTGAAGTCATCGACTTACCAGCGATCTGTTCTTCGGTCAGCTGATCAGCCTACATAAAGAAAGAAGAGGTATACCTCAGTGCACAAGCGCCAATGGAGAGCAGCAGAGTTTTCTCAATTATACTTTTGATACTGACCTTTCAAAAATCACTCTTTAAAAAAAAAAAAGCCAACCACGCGAAACTGCTAGCCACTAAATGAAAACAATGAGAATAAAGGGAACACTTTATGCTATTTGAAAAAACAAAGGATGACAAAGAAGTGACATTTCACTTCACGTTTTCTTTGCTGAGTCGATGGCTAATGCACTCTGAGGTCTAACGAGGAAGGGTCAGTTCATAATTTAAAAAATGGCACCTCTAGTGGCAAAAGGCCCCACCACACCGGAGGCAGCGGCCAGCTCAGAGAAAGAAGAGCGCCACCTACTGCGCCAGGGACACCGCAGTCCCCCCTTCCATCTGAGGATGCCAGCCTGATGGCTGCTGTCATCACCGCCAGGATCGCGGCCAGGGGCAGGCTTTTAGCGCACCTTGCGCATTGCTGCGGGCGCTCCAAAATCTCCAAACAGGCGTTACATAATGGCTTTGGGTTGGATTAACAGGCTTCCTTATCTATTTTATGAAATACAATTAAGTGAAAAATATAAATATACCGCAATGGGTCACCCCCACCAACTTCATTTCCATGCAATAAATCCTTTTCCATTTAAATTGGGCAGTTATTTATGAAAAGCCCCCCATTTGTAAGGGCTGATGCCCTCAAATTATCTTTGATAAAGAAGCCAGGAAAAAATGCAACCATCCTACTACTGAGCTGTTACAAAACCGCAAACGTGAAGTACCCACAAAGGTACAAAATAATTATGAGACTCTACCATGTCTTTTTTGGAAAAAGAGCAACTACTAACTTTGCTAGAGAATATTCACCAATTTTCAGCATGAGAGAGGAGCTGCTCGGAATAAAGCCACTTTACTCAGGTGGTGATGGCCATGCAGGTTATTTGCACTTGTTTTGTCTGGTCCCTGCAACACGGAACCTGTGACCTGTACCTTGGGGGGGGGGGGGTGTAGGGGGGAGCTTCCAGAATGCAAGGAGAGCTAATAAGTATTTTTATTTTAATGAAGGACACCTAAAGAAGCCAGTTACAAAATAATTCCTAATAGAAAGCTAACCACGTTTATGTTTACACTGATCTTAAATGAAAACTTTCCCAATAGGTGCGGTGTTCCAATATACTGATTTGGGGGAAAACTTATTTTTTCAAATTAGAGTTAGGTCTTCCTTTCTACCCCAGTCACCGGAAGGCAGTTTTCTTTATATCGCATGAAGGAGACACGATGATTTATGTAATGCCAGGACAACATCTGTCTTTGTACCACAGGAAGCCCTGCCACACCTCGAACGAGAAACTGTCACCTAACCGGGAAGAACAGTCCCACCTCACCGCAAAACTCTCCTGGTAAGAGAGCTTTCCGAAAGCATCTACCTTCCTCGACAAAGAAATACCCACCCCCAAATCGCTCTGGACTAAAGGGCAAAGGTGCTCTGAACCTGTCGGGTGCCATCTCCCCGTCCCGCCAAGCCAGAAAGCGCTGTGGGTGATATCACCCCAGCCCGCCCATGGAGGAAGGGGACTGAAGAAAACACACCCAGCCAGGCGCACAGGCGCATCTGGCAATCTAGAGGCTGCAGAGAAAGCGGAAACGTGGAGGGCATCTCCCTGCGGACTGCAAAGTGGCGAGGGGCCAGGCAGGGATGCGTGCCCCGAGAGCAGGCGGGATGCGGAGGAACAAGGGAGCCCCAGGGTGGGGGCACCGCCCTTCCCTGGCCAGGATCACCCCCCCACTCCCACCCCCACTCCGGGACCGCGCGGCGAGAGGTGGCCAAGTCCGCCCCGCGCCTCCCACCCGCTTCTGCTCCCCCAGGCGGCGAGCCGCACCGCCGCCTCCTACCGGAGCAGAAACTTTGCGTCTCTAATGGAAACCGAGCCGCGCGCCAGCTCCCTCCTCCCCCGCCCCCCCCCGCCCCAATTAGCTCGAGCCGAGTGCCTCCCTCGGGAAGGGACCTCCGGGGTACAGAGGATCAAGCACGCCTTCACTGCCGCACTGGGTTGGGGGCTGCAGGAGTGCGAAACATGGAGACACGAGCCCCGGCCACACGGTGGGGCCCCGCCCGGGCGCAGGGCTGCCGGCCCGCCGCTTCCGCCCTCTCCGCCCCCCACCCCTCGCCTTCCTGCCCCCACCCCACCCTTCCCCGGCTCCTTCCTTCCCAACCCACGCCCGCGCCGCGCCCCCCGGGAGGGAGGAGGGATAGCTGCTGAGCCAGGGCGCCCAGCGGGGTCGTCGGGTGGGGGAGGAGGTGGACGCCGACTGCGCCCCCCACGCCCGGGCGGAAGCAATGTGCGCCACCGGTTAGGTCGGGCCCATTCATTCTCCGTAGCCCGCCCGACCCCCCGCCTCTGTGCCTAGGGTGGAGGGCGGGGGGGGGGTGCCCAGGGGAGGGATCGAGTGCCCGGCCCCGCCCGGCTCCCCCGCCCCCCGGGGCCCCGGCCCAGGCGCAGCGCTGCGGGAAGCCCGGGTGCGGCGCGCTGGATGCAGTGCTGCGGGGCTGGGGGAGGGGGTGGATGCGGAAGGCCCCGGTGCAGCTGCGGCCGGAGCCCCTGCCCGCCGACAGCCCACGGCTAAGTCCAGCTCCAAGAGGGACCAAAATTTAAATAAGAAAACCTGGCCGAGAAAAGCGAAATGCAAATCCAAAATGCGTCCTCCTTAACTGCAGCTGCTGCGTAACACCCGGAAAAGAGGGAGGAAAAAAAACCCACACCGAAAAAAAGGGGGGGGGGCGCTGAACTCAAAATTTGGGAAGAAATGGGCAGACAGCTGCTACGCCGCCGTTTACCACTCCCGACCTACCATGGTGCGAGCGAAGGGAAGAAGAGCAGAGGGAGCGAGGGTGGCTGCACTAGCGCAGGGGCTGTAACGGCGGGGGGTGCCTTCGCTGCTGTTGCTGCTGCTGCTAAGGCGCGATGTGCGCTCAGCGCTGTGCCGCTGCCGCCGCCCGACTGTGAGTAACGGCACCGCGCCCGCGAGGCTCCCAGCACCACTGCCGAAGTGCGGGCCTGCGCCCGGCGGTATATATACGGCGCTCCGTATCCCTCCGCCACGGCGCTGCCGGCTCGCTCGGAGCGGCGCTGGGAGGGCCGGGCCTCGCCCGGTTGGCCCCGCCCCCGTCGCGCCCCGCCTCCCTCCTCCCTCCTCCCTCCTCCCTCCTCCCTCCTCCCTCTTCCCTCCTCCCGGGCGCGCCCGCCGCGGGCCCAGCCTGGGGCCCCGGGACGCGACGGGTTCGAAGAGAGGCGAGAGGTCGTGGGGCTGGGGCCGACTCAGGAGCAGGTGGGGCGAGGAATCCCCAGAGACTCCTGTCTGGGGCTGGACTAGGGCAGAGTGTCTCCACAGCCCCGACCTGGGGCGGCCCTGGACGTGAGAAGCTATCCGCCTCTCACCCCGGCCCCACCTCCACCTGTGGGACACCCCCACTCCCCGGACTTCACATATTTTACACCTTCTCCTGGCGCGGCCGGGTTCCGCGGGCCCCGCGCCCCGGGGTCTCCAGCTGGCCACCTTCCTTTCGGGATGTTTCAGGAGGTCCTGGGGCAGAGGAGGTCCGCGGGGAGCTGGGGACAGAAGAATTGACAGCACACCTTCCCCTGCCTTGGAGAGGGTCTGGAAGGGGCATAGCATTTTTCCTCTCGCAAGAAATTGGTCAGATGTCTTTTTTCTTTTAAAAATTTGAAACAATTTCTGAAACATTATATACGCTAAGTTGCTAAATCTGTGTCATGCTCATATGCTTAGCCAGTCTTCTTTTAATTTTTTCACGTTTCCACTGAATATTTTGTATGCCTGAATAATATTTCTCCCTTAACTGTTTTGTTTCCTACGGAAAATGCTATTCATTCTGGCTCTGGTCTTAACTGAAATTAATGTACCCGTGTGAATCTTCCATAGACCTTAAAACCCATGCTTTGATTTCTGTTTTTTTCTTAATTTTCCCGGTCCTAAGAGGGATCAGATCTTCATTCATAAAAACAAAGAAGGAAAAAAACAGGCACTTAGAATCCCCTATATTAGAGCTGGAACAAACAGCAAGTTGTATCTACAATGGAACTAGATTTTATTTTAATGTACAATCTTGTTTCTGTTCCTCTCTAAAATATTTTATCTTTAATAAATGTTTTCAGTCTTTCTGTAAACTAGAAAAGGGGCAATTTCAGTTATTAATTTGAAATCAGAACTTGTAAAAATCTTGACAAAATGCTGCAGTTAGTTTTCTTGCCAAGGCAGCCCAGAGAATTTGATCTTTTGTTTACAGGGCCTGGGCAACAGTTGCAATTTATCATTTGTTTACTCTTTCAGAGAATGTGCAAAGTGTGTAATTGACAAACTCTGCTAGAAAAGGCTCCCCTTGGTGACGTTTGCTTCCGGCTTTGACAAAATTTGCAGAAAGAGGTTTTTTAAAAAGGAAAAATGTTCAGGCATATTGCAGATACCACAAGACTTCTGGGATAACCTCTGTCGAACTGTTCTTACTGCTGTTCTTTCTGAAATGCTGCAGAAAGGGTGAACCTGCTGTTCAGTTTAAAGAGAGGCTGCAGCAGCAAGCCAGGGAATGGTGTTGCCTTCTCTCTGCAGATTAAAAAGACATTATTTACTTCACAAATCAGCCAATCATCATCGTCGTCGTCCTCCTTCTCTTCCTCTTCTTGTTCATCTTGTGCTTGCTCATGGCAGGAAACCTGAGTGGGAGAGTTGGAAATAGGAAAATAGAGGGAAAGGGACTAATACGAAATCAATTTAAAGAATATTCAATAATCTGGTGAGTTACAAGTCTAAATGGCCAGATGCATCTTAAAACTGCTTCATTTCTAAAGGAATTTATATTCTTTTCATATAGTACTTAGTGAAATACATTTTAAAATACTGTGCACATTGTATAAGTAAGGGGAAATAATGGTCTGGAAATGAAATGTGTTTAGTTATTGAGGATTCATTAGCTTCTGTCTTCCATTCCTTATAATTATTTTGGTTAAATTGCTCTAATCCATGATTTTGAAAATAATATTTCTCCCTGTCATTTAACCAAATTCACCCAGATAAAAAGCTTTGAAACTTTTCATGATGTTACTTGCTAAAAACTGTATATTTTAGAATTATTTTACTCATTATAAAATTCATAATTGTGATTCTTTATATGGTCTTACTAGCTTAAGTTCTCTTTTGATAATTCTTTAATGTATCAAAGCACATCTCACCTTTCAAGTCTACTGGGTTTGTAGTGAGGTCATGCTTTAGTTTTTTGGCTAGTTTGACACACTGAAATATGAGAAGGTCAGTGACTTGCCCAAGATCTTACTGTGAGTCAAAGATGGAGCGTAAAACAGAGCATAGACACTTGCGTGGGACTCTAATATTGGATTATATATTAGAGAAATCAATATCTGAAAACTTTAAATATACAATGTGAAGGATTTGCCTATTTCATGAAGCAGATTCTTTTACCTAGATGATCACTAGGCTTTCATTAAAGTCAAATAGACTCTTTTTATTATTTAAATTAAATGAATTAACATATAATGTATTATTAGTTTCAGAGGTAGAAGTCAGTGATTCATCAGTATTGTATAGTCCCCAGTGCTCATTATATCACATGCCCTCCTTCATGTCCAAACCCAGTTACTCCATCCCCCCACTCACTTCCCCTCCAGCAACCCTCAGTTTATTTCCTGTGACTAAGAGTCTCTTATGGTTTGATTAGATTCTTTTTTTTTTAATAATAATATTTTCACACTTGATCTTAGCCAAAAAGCTGAGAAGCCATTTTATCATCATTTTTTTAAAAGGTTTTATTTTTAGGGGTGTCTGGATGGCTCAGTCAGCTAAGCGGCCAGCTCTTGATTTCAGCTCAGGTCATGATCTCAGGGTTGAGAGATCGAGCCCCCATGCTGGGCTCCAGGCTCAGTGTGGAGCCTGCTTGAGATTCTCTCTCCCTCTCCCTCTGCCCCCCCACTCATCCTCTCTCCCCCTCTTTTTCTTTCTCTGAAATGGGTATATAAATCTTTAAAAAAGAAAGAAAGAGAACATCTTCTGCTGAGCATTGACTACAGCCAGCCCTTGTGCTAAATGCATTATTTCATTCTCCTGCCTATCCCATGAGGCAGGTATTGTTATCCTTACGTGGAAACAGGCACTAAGAGATTCAGTGATTTTCCTAATTTAAGTGGAAGAACCCCAATATCTAGCTCCGATCTCTTTGGACATAACACTGTAACTATTTCCTGTAATTTAATAGAATTTATTTTTAATTTAATTTTCTGGAGAGGAAGAACAAAGATTAAGATTAAAATCTGTTTTTAGGGGGGCCTGGCTGGTAGAGCATGTGACTCTTAATCTCCGGGTTATGAGTTCTAGCCCCACGTTGGGTGTGGAAATTACTTAAAATTAAAATCTTCAAAAAAAATTTAAATTTGTTTTTTAAAGAAATACTGCTTGGGGCACCTGGGTGGCTCAGTGGGTTAAAGCCTCTGCCTTCAGCTCAGGTCATGATCCAGGGGTCCTGGGATCGAGCACCGCATCGGGCTCTCTGCTCGGCAGGGAGCCTGCTTCCCTTCCTCTCTCTCCGCCTGTCTCTCTGCCTACTTGTGATCTCTGTCTGTCAAATAAATAAATAAAATCTTTAAAAAAAAAAAAAAAGAAATACTTCTTTTTTTGGAGATTTTATTTATTTATTTGTGAGAGAGAGGGAGAGCGAGGGA